GGGGGGGGGGGTAGGGGAGGTTATTGTCTATTAGTAGTTTTATATGAAGCATGTATACTTTCAAGAAGGTAATGTAATGTATTCCAACACTTAATACACGTGTTTGATACTCTCTTATCCGTGTCCATAATTAAATGATAAAATCTTAATTTTGGAAATATGTCCGACATTTCTTTGTTGACGTGTTTGACATGTATTTAGACCATGTTTACTACTAAATAATAAATATTTGTTGCCAAGTGATTAACAAAACTTAAAAAATTGACTATAAGTATCTTATGTTATGAGAGATCGTATAATTTTCATGACTAGATATGTTATAGTTGTACTCAAGATATAATAAGAAAAGCAAAAAATGTATAAAATTTTAAAAATGAAAAATATCATTTAAATTATATATGTTGGGTATACGTCTAAAAAAATTGATTATTATTGACTATTAAGATGCTTGAGTCTAAAAATTCACGCTAGACGACTAGATATAACATTTTCTTCTCTTGAAGTCTTGAATTTCATAAGATTAATATATCATTTTTATTATATTTGTGATGAATTATATAATTTTATACATAAAACACAATTATTTATAGCGCATCCGTGTTCTATTTTTTTGAGAAATGTCGTATCTATATGTCCATGCTTCTTAGGTAGTTTTAGCAGGTAATTTTTTTGGTGAGAGAGGATGGCTGTTTTAGCTGGTAAAGAAAGGGTTGTTTAGCTTGATGCAGTGAGTCAATGCTAACAAATACTGTATGGATCTTTAGCAGAAAGAACCCATCATTTGGAACTTTTTGACTGTCTAAAATGGATGTTATCTGTTCACCCTTGCAAATCAAGTGAGAAGCTGAGTTGATGGATTTCATTTAGTATGATTTTCATGTCCAAGGTGATCCAATCTTGAGTTCTATTTGCATAGATGAGCTGTGAGATCTGCAAAATTTCCTTGTGCCAATGAAAGAGTCATGTTTCTTCTGCTGTGAATTGGAGTGTGTTTTTTGCTATGGTTTACCTTTTTGGCTTTTAAGGTTTCCTTGGTCTTAGTCTCGGGCTAAAATTGTAGATGAAGGAATAGAGAAGTCTTTCATGAGAAATGCACCGGCAGGATCAGAAGAGTTTTACCCACAAACTGATTGAACACTTAAACATTAGTGATCCTTCTTTGCATTCCAGCCTACATTTATCTGTTCTTTTTTGCGTTAGTTATGGTTTGAGATTCACATGAAGTCTTTCGCGCTGATCTAAACACTAGGAATATGAATTTGTTTTGTGGGGAAATTAGTTTTCTTGTGGTAGTGCAAAATAAAATAAATTCAGGATTTTTTCCCACACATACTTCTACATTTTTATTATTGTTACCTTGTATGCAGGTTGAGGCTCCAAAGAAAAAGGTGAAGAAAACAAACATACCTGTAGCAGAGTTTGTTTATGGAGGAATGGCAAATGCAGATGTGCAAAAAGCAGTGGAGAAGGAGTTTGAAATGGCTTTGCAGGACCGTGTTATGGAAGAAACCAAGGATAAGAAGAATGCTGTGGAGGCCTATGTTTATGACATGAGAAACAAGGTATGTCATAGCTTGCACATTTGTTTTTGTGAATTTGTGGAATTTGATGCTTACATCTGTTATTTTGGTTTCTAGCTTCACGACAAATATCAAGAGTTTGTTTTGGAGTCAGAGAGAGGAGAGTTTATTGCTAAACTTCAGGAGGTTGAGGACTGGTTATATGAAGATGGTGAGGATGAAACCAAAGGTGTCTATATTGCCAAGCTTGAGGAGCTGAAGAAGGTTGGTGTCTTTTGTTTTTTTTCAGTTTTATTGACAGCTGTTTGCTCTAATTAATGGTATGGTGAACTGTGTTGGAATTAAATCCTACAGCAAGGTGATCCCATTGAGGAGCGCTACAAGGAGCACATGGAGAGGGGATCGGTGATTGATCAAGTTGTCTACTGCATCAACAGTTACAGAGAAGCTGCAATGTCGACTGATCCTAAGTTTGATCACATCGACTTAGCAGAGAAACAGAAGGTATCGATTTGGCAGATGAATCTCTCTCTCTCTCTCACACACCACACGCGCGCACGCGCGCCCACATAGACACGTGAATTTTGTTGATCATGGAAAAAGATTTGAGACATAATGAGTTGGAGGCAAAGATCTGAAACACAATGAAGTAATTCCTTTTACTGTTTGGTTACTTTTAGGTTCTAAATGAGTGTGCAGAAGCTGAGGCTTGGCTGAGAGAGAAAAAACAACTGCAAGACTCGCTTCCAAAACATGCTCCGCCAATTCTCTTGTCAGCTGACGTGAGAAGGAAAGCTGAAGCCGTTGATAGGTACATTCTGACTACTTATATCAAAATTTAGAGTTTCCTTCTGATTGTTCTTTGACCGGTTATAATTTGTTTGTTCTAATTTTTAAGGTGTACTGACACATGCAGACAGACATATATCAATGAACCATTCATTCGTATGCATAAATTATGCTTGTAAACTAATAACCTGCAATAAGCTTTTGGCCACTGTTTTGTTGACAGTATTGCTTTTGGCTCATCATAATTGTGATTTTCTGATTATGGAATTCCCATAAAGGTCTTCTATTTGCTTTCTTTGTTCGGCGGAAGCTTTGCCATAACTTCCTGTCGAGTCTTCTGTATCCCACATCTTTTACAGGATCATTATTATGGTAAATACTGAACATGATGTGGTCCTCCAGGTTCTGCAGGCCAATAATGACGAAACCAAAGCCAGCGAAGCCTGTAACTCCTGAGATGTCGTCACCATCGCCTCCAGAAGGAAGTGAACCGCAGCCTCAGGGTGCCGAGAATGGCAACCTCCAGACCAATGCTGATGAGGGGGCTGCAGCTGGAGGTGAAGTACCTCCAGCTGCCGCTGAGTCGATGGAAACAGACAAGCCCGAGACCACACCAAGTGCTCCATAAATCAGTAAATTTGGTTGTCAATTGATGTGTTATGCAGAGCACCTGGAACTTTTTGATGGCCCAGATAGGCCATGAAATGTTTGTTTGTGAGATTGTTTTGGTTGTGTAAAGCCATCTCCTCAGTTTGATGGTTTGGCAAGTTCTCCTATATTCAAAGAGTAGGTCTCTGGAATCCTGTTTTTCAAAAAGGGTTTGTAAGAGGGAAGTTCAATAGCTACTATCCATCCAAATATGCTCTTCTTGAGACCTATATTCTTCATTGTGATCTATCCATCCAAATGTGATTTGTTGAGACCTATATTTATTAGTGTCGTTCAACTTCTCTTTATTATAGGGAGTCTACGTTGGATTCCATTTTATACTTGGGTTTTGTTATTCTACTATAAACGGATTGTTTTTACAATGGAACTTTTGAATCTTTGAAGCATAGAGTGCCAGTTCTTATGTGTGTACGGCGGGGCTTTGTCCTGTGCATGTTGGTTTGATAATTCACAGGAACTATCTTGCAATTTCTCTGGGAGGACTAAGGTGCTGTTGTCCATTGAGCTTTTCTATACGGTGCAAGTCTTCTTTATTAGCAAATGTGAATTTCTGAATTACTTGGTGTTAATAACATTTTCAGCTAGAGTTTACTGATTCAGCAAAACATCTGTGTCAGGTAAGCAACTTTTGACAAATCATTTGGGGTTTGCTTGGTTGTAGTATTGTAAAATAATGGATTATATAGATTAATTTTTATAACGGAATGCTGTATAGAGAGTTTTAATATTTTATAATTCACCTGTTAATCCTGCTACCAATCGACCTTATACATCCGTAGGTGCATGCTAAACCAAAGCACTGAACTCTACTAACTTCTTTGATATAATCCAAGCCCTGCTTCAAAAACACCTTAAAATGCAGGAACTATCAACCGAGTAAGAAAAAGAAATTGACCAGAGTGGTGGGTTGGCAAAACACCCCAATTTTATTTTATCACTTTAATAAGAAATTTGGCATTTTTCTGTCTTCCGTTGATAAACACTATGCACTTTAATGGAAAATAGTATAAAAATGACAAATCTTTTGGAGCTAAACAAATGATTCAAGAAAACCATTGTGGAATTTCTATATTTTCATATTATGTGGCAAAAGCAACCACCTTAACGTGGGTGGGGTACGATACTTGATTTATTAAAAAAATTTAAAAATATGTATTAAACAAGATCTCAATTGATAATATTATTATTATTTTTTTTTGAGTAAGTTATATTATTATTACAATTCTAGAGGATAAATTTAAATAAATTCATTTGACGATATCAAATAAATTTATTCATTAATTACTAACACCTCTCTCAAAACCATTCAGATCTAATTAGACTATAGATTTAAGTGATTAAAAAAAATGTATCGGAAAGGAGGAGATGTGAGTCCGTATGTAGTTACAAAGGTTGCCTGTGTGTAGCTCGATCCCAATCAGACAAGACCAGCAGCTCACATGACCGGTAAATTGCACCCGTTGTTCGCTTCTCTCTCTCTCTCTCTCTCTCTCTACTTTGACTGGAAATTCCTTTAGAAGAATCAAGAAATTTCTCTCTCTCTCTCAGCACACACTTTTTTTTTTGTTTATATCTGTCAGCACACATTCGAAGAACCATATCTTGTTTTGTTTGTCTCTGGACATAATCATGCACACTACCTATTCGATGAAATGCCTCATACGATGTTGTGCCATGGAGAGGCACTTGATGTTTATTTATTTTTGTGGATTCAACGAAGAATTCCTGGTTCAACTTCCTAAGGAGTTCAAACTTCCATTTTGAACATTCGATGGACAGAATTTCTGCTCATCCATTACAACTAGAAATTAATTTCATCCACTATATCAACCAAAAAAACAATCCTCTAATCTACCCTCCGATGACCTTCTTCCTTTGCCACCACCTAGGAATGCACCTCTATCACCATTCACCGCTGCACAACCTCTTCCAGCACCCTCCACCCACTGGCGCATCACCTTTTCCCCATCTCTGCCAACACCCAAAATTGTATGACCACCCATAGTAATGTAGGGCTCCTAGTGAGACCTACCTGAAGTTATCATTATCTGTAGTATTTATATAAAATGGGAGGTAGGAAGTAAGAACACCACTAAATCTCAACAAAAAAGGCAACCAAAGGATACTCGTGGCCCTCTCACATCTGAATTACGCTAACAGCCTCTCCTTCATTGAGATTAGGCAGAGAACATTTGTTACAAAAGAGGGTAGAAAGGTAAAACCTTCTTTCTGTAAATGGTGTTAGGGAGTTTCAGATTGGTATAAAATGGTAGGGGGTTATGTGTAGGTATTAAAACTAGAAGTAGATTATGTGACAAGGAGGCAAACCACAAGGGGGTAATTCAGAATTTGCCCTTGAAACTATCATTCTTTTGCTAATAGAAAAAATTTTCCTTTTTGATATCTTTGTAGTTCTATGGCCTAGAGATATCATTTCAATTTCAATTGAGAACTCGAAACTATCAAACTTTTGTTCAATCATTTCTCAAGTTTTTTGTCTGCTGAGACTCTCCAAATAGATATGTTATTCCCATCATGTCAATCTTTGACCATTGCTGTATGTTGTGTTGGCAGGTGATGATATAATGTTTAGCTACATCAAGCTGTTATGCCACTAATTGACACCAACTGATTCAATGCCTTAAGTACTTTAAAGTTCATTCGTGTGATCTGGTTTGTTAATTCAAACAAAATGGTTGCAGGATCAATTAGTTTCAGGCGAGCTATATCTACTTTGCCTCATCTATGTGAGAGACTTAAGCAGACAGGTAGAGTTTTATTATCTAGTGCTTCATTGCCATTTGTACATCCAGTAAACAAATGAGACATAGAAATATTAGTATTAACTCCTAGCAATTTGGGTGTATTTTTTTTTTCTGTTTTTCCCTGGATGTTTAAATTGGTTGATTATTTTAGTGTGTCTACTGTTGTAAGCCCTGTTAAAAAAAATGATATATTAAGCAGCTCCATTGATAGATTTCCTCTTTTTATGATTATATCTACTATATACCTTGTGGGCATACTATAGATTTTTGGGAGGTTTTTTTTTTTTTTGCAAGGACAATAACAGTTAGTCAAAATTTAGTACATGTTTGTTTGTTTTTGCAGAAAGTGAAATTGTCCAAATGTTCCGATTGGCAAGTCCCAAGGATGACACACAAAACTTCTCCACGAACCGAACTGCATCACGAAAGAACAGCTTAGTAAGAACATTGGATGAGAGATTTATAAGGATTTTAAAGATATTCAAGTGGGGGCCTGATGCAGAGAAGGCTCTGGAGGTTCTTATGCTGAAAGTGGATCATCGCTTGGTTCGAGACGTTTTGAAAACAGACGTGGAGATCAATGTTAAGATCCAATTTTTCAAGTGGGCTGGGAAGAGAAGGAACTTTAAGCATGACTCTACGACTTACATGGCATTAATTCGTTGTTTGGATGAAGCTGGGTTGGTGGGTGAATTGTGGAGGACAATACAAGACATGGTTCACAGTACATGCCTCACCCGTCCAGCTGAGTTATCTGAAATTGTCAGAATTTTGGGCAACGCTAAGATGGTGAACAGGGCACTCTTGGTCTTTTACCAGTTCAAAGGTCGCAAGTGTCAACCGACTGCAAGCACTTACAACTCCATAATCTTGATGCTGATGCAAGAAGGTCACCACGAGAAAGTTCATGAGCTCTACAATGAAATGTGTAATGAAGGTAACTGTTTTCCCGATACAGTAACTTATAGTGCACTTATATCAGCATTTGGGAAGTTGGGCCGTGTTGATTCTGCTATAAGGTTGTTTGATGAAATGAGGGAGAATGGCTTACACCCCACTGCAAAGATCTATACGACTCTATTGGGGATCTATTTCAAGTTGGGTAGGGTTGAGAAAGCTCTTGCCTTAGTCCAGGAGATGAAAGAGAAAGGTTGTGTCCCAACAGTTTATACCTACACCGAATTAATCAAGGGGCTTGGGAAAGCTGGTAGGGTTGAAGAAGCCTATGGTATATTTCTGAATATACTAAAAGAGGGTTGTAAGCCAGATGTTGTGCTTATGAACAACGTTTTGAATCTCTTAGGCAAGGCAGGTCGTTTAGCTGATGCTCTTAAGCTATTTGAAGAAATGAAATCCTTGCAATGTACACCAAGTGTAGTGACATATAATACTGTCATTAAAGCTTTATTTGAATCCAAAGCTCCGGTATCTGAGACACTTTCATGGTTTGAGAGAATGAAGGTAAATGGTGTTAATCCTAGCTCTTTTACTTTCTCAATTTTAATTGATGGCTTTTGCAAGACAAATAGAGTAGAGAAAGCTTTGCTGCTGCTCGAGGAGATGGATGAGAAGGGCTTTCCTCCTTGTCCAGCTGCCTATTGCAGCCTGATCAATAGTCTTGGAAAAGCAAAACGCTATGAAGCTGCAAATGAGTTGTTTCAAGAACTAAAGGAAAATTGTGGATCTTCAAGCGCTCGGGTATATGCCGTGATGATCAAACAATTTGGGAAATGTGGACGTTTAAATGAGGCTGTAGCTCTTTTTAATGAAATGAAGAAACTTGGGTGCAGTCCAGATGTCTATGCATATAATGCACTGATGTCAGGAATGGTAAGGGCTGGCATGATAGATGAAGCTCACTCGTTGCTTCGAACTATGGAAGAGAATGGTTGCATTCCTGACTTAAACTCGCATAACATAATTCTAAATGGCTTGGCTAGGACAGGGGGTCCGCAACGGGCAATTGAGATGTTTACAAAGATGAAACAGTCAAAGATAAAGACTGATGCAGTCTCCTACAATACTGTTCTTGGCTGTCTCAGCCGTGCTGGTATGTTTGAGGATGCTGCAATGCTGATGAAAGAGATGCGTTCAAATGGATTTGAATATGATCTTATTACGTACTCATCAATACTTGAGGCAGTTGGCAAGATTGATGAAGATCACTCACAAGCAACTCTCTGAAAGAAGACGGGGTATGATATGCTCATTCTATTGTTGTTTTTACTTCTGTTCATTTAGGCTTAGTGGCACCGCACCGGTCAACTGTTTGGTACGATCTGGCTGTCTGTGATCTATCATATATCCTATCCAAGATTATTAGATGCCTTGCTGTAGGGATAATATAGCTCCAATCTTTGATCCCAGTATGATTATGGTGGTTGACCACGTAAGTTGAGGGTTTAGCTGCTGGTCTTAGAGGTGCTTTGATTAGTTGAATCTTAAGCAGCGAGCGTGATATCATATTACTGGAAGGAGTATCTTGTTGGACGTATTACCAAGAAAATGGCGTCTTGTCAGAGTGAATTGGGAGAGGCTTTTGTTAGAGCAGCTTGATCTCTCAGAAACTCTTTATTCCCACTACCCACGATAGTGGAATTATTAAGTTCTTTCCATGGTGATTTTCCAACCTGGCATTCAGATTGCTCTCAGATCTGTAAACCCTTCGCTTGTCCAACCCCCCATCTTGATCAAGTATTACTTAAGGTTCGCAGTTTCCCCTGAACCTAAGATGGATACTGAAACTATCATCCATATTTTTCTCTTCACGATAAAGCAAACTTAAATGATGCATGCATGGATCACTTGTCGACCTTTGTGAAACCAATTCAGAAATTTTCACTTATCGGACTACTTACCAGCTGTTTTTTTAATTCATTTTAAGGGGGGTTTTATATTTCCATGGTATTTTCATTTCTGAGATCAGTTGCTGTTGGTGACTCACCTTACCTCTCGTCCTTGGGTCAAACTGCAAACCATGGTGTGCAAGTCTGAGCAGGTGAGCTTGTGGCCTGTTTTAACTTCATACAACTTCTGTTCTCCTTGTAATTCATAATCAGATTCTCTGTTTAGCAGCCTACCTCAAGCGTCGGCATTTTATGAGGATTCCCAAGGAAAAATTATGGGCTCAAACAGACAAACATAGAGGACCACTACCGATGCAAGAGGTTGGCCAAGTGCACAAGTTTTCCTGTGGAGCAAATCAGGTGAAATAAAATAGGAAAAGTTATAAGGTGACAATGGCCGAAGACCCCACTCGAATGTTTCAAGTGTCGCATCTACATAAAAAAACACATTGAAGAATTCCTTTGGGGAATGAGACAGAAGGACGTTAGGGGCTTGATAATTGCATGTATGAACCTGTAGAAGTGAAGCAGGATTTTACAGGACAGACAGATGGAAAGGAAAACCAGGCAATACATGTAAAATTACAGAAATCTGTGTTTCAAGTGTATTGATTATGACTTCTTACATATTTTTAAATTGGTTGCCATTACTGTGTGTAAAACTTGATTAAAAGAAAAACTTGCATGGCTTTATCGACTTCACAGCTTCGTTCGCACCTTAAGAAATAAGCATGGATTTAAAGTAGAAGCAGTTGCCCCATTTGTAGCGTTATTATTGTTCTTTGTAAGAAGCACTGATTGGACTCTCAAGGTGTTAATTTTGTTTTCACAGGGACAACAATACCCCCCCCCCCCCCTCCAGCAAATCTTTTTCTTGAAAGTGTTGCTAAATAGTTAGTACTGTGTGATTGGAGTCATTAGAAATTTGCAGAACATGGGCAATGCTGACCAGCCAGAGGTTGTGGGAACCAAAGGTAATGCAGTGAATTGACCTGAAAAATGATGACTATCAATACAGAAAGTTAAAATGCTAAGATCTGTGAGCAATGTTGAGAGAAATAGCTATGGCAGCCCAACAATTTTATGAACAATAATGTTACACATCATTTTCTTGCACAAAATAACATACACCATAGGTTCTACAAAATTTATCAAATATTTAGTAGTTGTGATTGTGTCACGTCATCGACTAAGCCAGAGTGTAATAAAAACATTATAGACTTAATAATTTTTGAGCATGGTCCCGGCGGGGCTCGAACCCGCGACCTTCGGCTCATAAGACCAACGCTCTAACCAACTGAGCTACGGGACCAAACATGCTTATTTCTCTAGTGTGCAAATTTCTATTTTATAATACTGCCACACAATTCTTGGCTAGCAATTACAGTTTGGGCTAGCAGTTACCCTCGTTACCAACTTTGGGCATAACCATCTTCGAATTAGATCCCACTAAAGTTATGAAAAGCAAGAGTACAGGTTCTGTCCAACCACTCTGTCATACCCAATGCACAACTTTGTCATACCCGATGCACAAGGTTACTATTTATAACCGGTTAAGGCTACCTCTTCCCGACCTCTTGGTGATCATGATATACCGTGAAAACTTGCAATAAGAGTCTAATTTCTTTTGTCAGGGAAAGAAAAAAGTCGTCATACCAGCACTAATACACTGATCAGTTTATAAGACACCCAGTCTTTGTCTGATTTTGCTGCACTACTCGCACCGTTGCATGCAATTTAATGTATTCATAGATTACAGTGTGTGCTACTCAATAACACTTGTAGATAGAGGAATATAAGAAGCTTGGTCAATTAAGATTTTGGAGGAAAGCTTAAACAGGAAGGTTGTTACAAATTAATGCTTATTAACAGCAAGAGATTTAAAGACAGTTATTTGACAGCTCTGCAATGATTCACCAACATTCCCAGGAAAAAAAATTGAAACAAGGAGACACCGGAGGTTAGAGCAGCTAAAGTTTGTTGCACTTGCATTTAACCTTGCAGTTAAGATTTCGAATGAAGATCAGACAAAGCAAATCAAGAGCAATTATCATCTAGTAAAAAACAAATACCTGAAAATAGGACATGGGACGGTAACCAAATATTATTGCAGAGTATTATTGCCTAGGATACTTCACAATATGACAAGAAGGAAAAATATATCTGTNGATTTCGAATGAAGATCAGACAAAGCAAATCAAGAGCAATTATCATCTAGTAAAAAACAAATACCTGAAAATAGGACATGGGACGGTAACCAAATATTATTGCAGAGTATTATTGCCTAGGATACTTCACAATATGACAAGAAGGAAAAATATATCTGTAAGCTGCACATTAAATGCAATAATCCCGTATGTATGTGTTGGCCACATCACCACACTAGCTTTCATTCAAATATCACAAGGGAAAAAAAAACAAAGAAAACAGATTAACATGATGCATAGGCAGTGCACAGATAAAGGCCATGCTTGAACATATAGTGAATGTTGAATGTGTGTTTCTTGTTTTTATTTGGAAACCTAAGAGAGACAGCATTACCGAAACAAAACTATAAACAAAATGAGAGCTACCAGCTGAATCGATCATGAGAATTATGCAAATCACCAAAGCATCTTTGGGCTTACCAAATCATCCAAAGATGATAACTCTTTCCTGGTAATGCCACCATTCGTGTTAATGGAAGCAAAAAGGAGGAAATTGAGTAACAGTATAATAGGCAAATTATCTGCTTTTCAACTGGAAGTTTCTAAGGGGTCGAAATAGGAGGGCCAGCAGGCATGTCACAATGGCAGATTGACCCATGCTACAAAGTTATAAATATCGGATATGATATCTCTACTTTCCCAGTTTTACCATCCCCTAATTTCCCACCCAAAAGGGAATCAAGTATCCCTGAAACAAATCATATGCAAATTTTCTTAATTCGGTGACCATTATTACCCAAGAAAAAGGCAGAATCTCAAAGACACCACTGAACAATAATTCATGGGGAAGGTGCTAAACTTGGGTCAATTTCCCCCACCATCCCTTCTTTTAAAATAATGCCTCCTGGAAACTCCTTACAACGATAATAGAAATGATTTCAAATATACTTTTCTCCACACAACCTTCCTGAAATATGTACCAATTCTTGACCTGATAGCCATTTCATGTCACAAGTCCCATCTATTGAAAATGCTGAAAGCTTGACCACCAATCAGTTGCATTTCCTCTTAATCTCCTTCCATAGCCCCATCTTTACTAATTGAGCATACGGATCCTGAATTGGACAAGAAAGCATAATTCACAACTCCAAACAACATGTCTTCACTACTCGTCTTCCCCCCCTCCCTAAAATAAAAGGTGGTGAAGAACAGAATATGTATCCAAGAAGAGTTAGAAAGTTAATGATTTATCATGCACCAGCATGCATACTCGTCTGTATGAAATATCATTGTGTAAAACTGACCAATAGAAATCCCAAAAGATGTACAAGTTGTGACAGGGACTATAAGCTGCTCTGTCTAGATTTATAATCTCCAGTTAAATTGCCAAATGCAATTGTCAAACAAAAAATGGTGTGCAAAGCAAAAGATGGTTACCTCAACAGGTGTCATTGAAGTAAAATTGGCACGAAGAGAAAAGAGCATTCTCTTAAAAGTTTTATTTTAACTTCTAATTGAACTAATACTTCCAAACACATCCCTTCATCAAATCACTTTTATTTCCCTAGCAAACTATTAACCCAAGAAGACACAAAGCCCCAGAGTACATTACAACAATGGCAAGCAGCCAATAAAGTAAATACGAATAAAGGAAGATAATGAGGGCTAGATACATCACCCACTGACGTTCTCAGTGGACACATAATTCTCTTCATCTCCTTGATGTATTTTTGCAATCTCCGCCTGTGCTCTCTCCAAAATCTTCCTCTTTTGCAATTCCAAGTCTCTATGGAAATCCATCCTCATCTTTTCCAGTTCTAGCATCTGCTGTCTCTTACTATTCTCAATCTTCTCATATATCTCGCTAAATTTCTGAATGGAATCTGCAAGCAATCTGAAGGAAGCTCCATCAACTCTCTCCCCTCCATTCCGTGTCCTCTTGGGTGGAATCCCTTCTGAATCATCTTCCTCACCCTCTGCAGATTCAGAATTCCCTGGGCTATCCCTCATCTCATCTAATCCATTTGCACGGTTTAGATAGACTCTGGTGTTCATGAAAACATATTCACCCGAGTCCACTCCACATGAAAGGCCTGCTTGCTGTGGTGTTGATGACATTAACAAATCCATCTTCTTAAAATATACCCATTTACTGGAGGGATTTCCAATCCCTGCTAACTTCATCTTCTCTTTTTTGTATTTCTTTTTCAGTGTATCTAAACGATTTCGACACTGAGTATCTGTTCTATCGATCTTTGACTCCTGTGAAACCTTCTCTGCAACTTCCTGCCATTCCTCAGATCGAAGACTCTTCCTCCCATGTTCAAGAAACCTGTCACCCCAAGCATCTAGAAGGACAAATGTTTCATGTTCTGTCCAATCTGTAAGTGAATTCCGTCCACCAAAGGAGGGTTTTGGCGCTGAAGCAGCCACTGTTGCTGAAGGTGGTACTCGAGGAGCAAATTCATAATTTGATAACAGGCTCTTCAACTTCCTCTTCTTTTGGTGCCTTTGGAGATCACCATCTCCAACACCCCCATTGTAATTATCATCCTCATCCTCTTCCTCTTCCTCTTCATCTTCATCATCATCCCCATCTTTGCCCATCCGATGAAAACCATTGTCTTCATCATCATCATCATCATCATTTTCTTCTTCTTCTTCATTGAACTTTTCTTCCTCAATATCATCATCTTCAACATACTGATTACCAACATGATGAGGATAAGAAGCATTCCGAACAGGAAGCTTCGGGCGATTTGATGACCCGTAACCCTGAGTCATCCCATAGGAGTCTGGTGGATACCACGCATCATCCTCAGTGTCATCCATCCAAGCAGGCACGATATAACAAGACAAGTGTTCAACGATATCCTAACTTATTATTTTTGCAAATTAACTCGGGAAAAAACAAAACCTATCATTCCACCCTAAATAAACACACTGTCCCAATAAACACCAAACTTTATCAACCAAACCTCCAATTTGTCTTTTGCAGTACCAACTACATACCCAAAACAGCAATATTTATTACTCTTATCTATACAGCACAATAAATTATTCCCACATAAAGCTTATCCCTAGCCCAAATAATAAATGATTTCCCCACTAATGAATTCAAATTCCTAAACAAGAACTCCCATTATTCTCATCTCAACAAGCAGTTATAGGTATGCCCAAAAAACCATTTTTCAGTTTCAAATTACCTATTTCTCCATTGTACAATATCAAATTAATGAAGCCTGGAGAACATGAAAGCTATCTCCAACTATCTAAAAATTCTACCGTTACCAAATTTGCCTCTTTCCATAGAACTTCAATCCAACAAAACAAAATTAATGATTCTTACCTCAAACATACAATTTCCATACGTGAGGATCTCAAATTCGCGAACTTTCTGCAAATCAAACACAAAACACGCACTTATAAACTTAATTCAAGTGTCCCTATCCCCAAAATTTTAATTTCACGAGAGGGAGATCAATACGAACAAACAAAAAGGGCAAATTTTAACTTGAGAAACCCTAATTTCACGAATAAGAAAGTGGACGCATCTGACCTGAGGATAGATTAGCAGGGGAATCTAAAGTTGAAGATGCTAAGGCACGCCAAGAGTGCTATGTCCGTGTCTCATGCCTTGGGTCCACTGGGGTGGGGTCACATCTGATATTAACGGTCCTGATGTAGCTGAATGCCCACTAGCACCAAGCTAACCACCAAATGCTATTTTACCCAAAATGCCCTGCGGTATTTCTACTTTTCCCATATTATATCCCCAAGTAGAGATTTACGCAGTAATTCAAAATAAAGAGGCCAATATTGAAATAATCATATATGTGTTTTCACATTGAAATTTGTTAGATATTGAACATTTGACCCAATTTGTTCTTTTCAAATGTCAAGATAATGATTTTAGCATTGTGTTTGTTGGTTCAAATATCAAGAGTTTTTGGATCAATTAACACGTATTTCAATTAATTCTTTTCTCGATTGAATCAAAGATAGGTCATTCACACCGATACTAAAATATTTAGAAGGGATTCAACCTAATTTCAAAATATTACCAAAATTCGAACTCGAAACATCTAAATTTATAATTCTCTTTTTTATTATCACTTAAATTACCTTAAGATCGGTTTCTTGAGAGTTCAAACAAAAATGTTATTGTTGCAAAGTTATCTATGACACAATGTGGGCATTGCCACAAGTAATTTGACGATTTTACTTGTGCGTGACACGCGAAACATTCTTATATTATTCTTGATTGGTAAGACCAAAGGCAACGATGTGTAATAATTACATGTGTTTTTCACAATTCAATTTTCATTTCTGTATGGCAAAATTTCGCCTTTTTCGTACAATTGATGATATTGGAATAATAAGAAAAGATAACGTTTGTTGGAAGAGATGCCATACAAGATTTTATAATAAATTTTTACATACTTGAATATTAGAGAATAACTACCTAGCTATGAAATTGTCGTATGCTTCCAAAATCGAAACTACTTCTATTAGTTTATCGATCAATTAGAAAGCATGTGTTGTCCGACATTTTTTTTTGGTAATTAGTGCATTGCTGCCATTAACTGATCAAATATTGTCATTTTTTTCGACATCCGTTAAATCAGATGAGAAGTACGTTGACAAATACTTAAGAGATTGTTGACTACGCAATAGTACAAATCAAGAAAAAGATCGTTAACATATTACTCATAAATTGTTAACATATCACTCATAAATTGTTAACTATATAAAATACCGTCGTGACTTCTGAGCATTACATATTTAGTTATCATAATAATCAAGGGTTATCCATTAAATTCAAGTGAAAAAATAAAATTTTCAACAAACCCATTATTCTGCCTAACAAACAACCTTCCAAGCATTAATTTGTAAGAGAATCCCATATTAATTTTCACAGTATGAGATATATATTGTTCTATTCTATTTATAGTGTGAGGAATAAAGAATTCTGTGGGGGGTGGTTATGTTATTTAATTCTCATGGTTTAGTCGGCAAATCTTAAAGAATAATGTTAGATGAATTTAAAAATTAGACTTGATAATCTCAACCATTGAATAATTAGTGAGTTACAATAAATGTTAGGACCCACAGTGAAATCAATGGTTCTAATTATCAAATTTAATTTTTAAGTCTATTTTTTAAGTTCATGTAGGATTGCTCAATCTTAAAATGGGCAGATACTTAAAGAGTAATGATAGATGAACTTAAAAACAAGAATTAAAATTTAGNGTAGGATTGCTCAATCTTAAAATGGGCAGATACTTAAAGAGTAATGATAGATGAACTTAAAAACAAGAATTAAAATTTAGATTTAATAATCTCAACTATTGAATAGATAGTGAATCTCAATAAATATTAGAATCCACAATAAAATCCATGATTAAAATTCTCAATACTAACTTTTAAATTTATTTTTTAAATCTAGCGCTCATTCTTACCCCGGCAACAGGCACTGTCGTTCACTTTTTAGGTAATAAACAGCCAAAAAAGAACAGAAATCAAGGAAACGTTTTTTGTCAGTATTCTTGGGAACCTTTCCAAGCTAATTTTGTCTTTAACCCCCTAACATAGCTCCAAAAAAGGTAAGAGGAAATCATCCTATTTTTCTCGTATAANAACCTTTCCAAGCTAATTTTGTCTTTAACCCCCTAACATAGCTCCAAAAAAGGTAAGAGGAAATCATCCTATTTTTCTCGTATAAGTTCACCAACACCATTGATGGGAAGCTTTATCAATGGTAGAAGAATCTTAGGGGCATCAAATATTTTATCTGTTATACTTGTTCAGTACTTTATAGTATATGTAATGTAATGGCGGCTATGTACATGGTTTAGATTGGGTTCTTTTGGGTCTGAATAAAAACATACCCTGCAGAAGATACCTTACCTATTTATTAACTTCTAAAAAATATAGAATATCGTTTAGTATATAGAGTGACGTGGATAATACATGTGGTTACATAACCATGCTTAGTCAGTGAGGGTGAGGGAGAGGGAGAATAGGGTTGTATATAAGAAGCTTTAGAGGCTCCCCCTTTTTGCAGAAATTGATGCATGCAAAGAGAGGAACAAACAAGGAAGTGCAGCTTTAGAGGGAGAGAGAGAGATGTAGTTGGCGAGTTTGATACCAACTTTTCAGCAATTATTCATTAAAAACTGCCGTTGGGTGATCTTTCACTCTCAATTCTCAAGCTAGCTCCTGTTCTCCAAACATTTTAGAGGGAAAAACCAGGTCTGGTTTAAGCTCCATTTCTTTCATGTGGTTTGGCTGCACTACTCAATTCAATGACAACACTTTTATATCCATTTTGATGCATTGTTGATTTGGTGCTTCAAAAAAAAAAGCTGTTGATCTTCAAAAAAAAAAAAAAACTATGTGAGTAGATCTTCAAAAAACTTTTTTGGGGTATATATATGAAAATGATTTTCTTTATGGTTTGTTTTATAACAATTCCCAACCTTCCCAAGCCACCTGTTTGGATTATTGAGAAAGTACTTCAGTTTGGGTTCTTCAAATTCGTAAGTATTTTCAGAACTTCTTGAATTATGTCTCTAATCCATTAATCAAAGTTTTTTTTCCATCCAGTTTTTTTGTGGGCTTGTGGCTAATTAAGATCATCTTTGCATTTTTCTTTCCATTTCTTTTTCCTGGTTTTGATTACCATTTCATGCAAAACTCATAGATCTACTTGTGTTTTCGGGCATGGGTATTTGTATCATGTTTCTGATCTATGCCTTGCTCATGATAGAGCTATGCTTTATCTCGCTTTTTTCCTTGTTTCATGGTTGTTAATTTGCATCTGGTTAATTAACACCACTTTCTAGCTGCTGCTGCTTCTTTTGAATTTTAATTTTCTGTCATGAAGTTCTATTAATTGGTTGTATTTATTGCAGGAAGTGATTTGCTGGTTATTGTTTTAAAAAATACTCTACACAATTCCATCAACAAATGGGAAATATGGTAACTCATCTGGCTGATTTGGAGTCGTATATTGCCCGGATCCATTGGAGCAGCTCATTATCGGCATGGCCTTATACCAATAATTCACAAAATTCTGATTCAGTTCGAAACCCCAATTCTCCTTTGAATTTAAGGGATGATCACTACTCCAAACTTTGCGACTTGTCTCGTTTTAGTTACTCAAGAGCCTCAGGAACACCACCAACGGATAGATTGAATTGCAGTAGGATAGGACTAAGCATCCTATTTTCACTAGTTAATGAAATCAATCCATATGAGGAAATTATTAACTCCTCCAAGAATATAGTTTTTCGACAACAGTTCAATATGAATGCCATCACATCCTTCAGCCATCTAAATTTATACTTAGATTCTTCCGTTAGAAGTATCGAGGTATCATCGCGCTTAGGTGGCTTAGATGCTAATTCTAGGCGTTGCGATCAAGTTTCACCTTGTTTGTTTGGTTCCAGTAACCTTTCATACAACCAAAACCCTAATGCAAGTTCCAAAACTAGTTCCCAGAACAAAGATACCCCATGTCCTATAGCCAGTCCTCTTCATCGAAGCTTTTTTGATCTTACTTTGGAAGAGATGGAACAATTAGAAGAATATACCCGTATAAGTTTTCATGGTCCAAACCGTAAAGTAACCCACATTTTCTGTGACTATATTTTCGAATGTCATCCAAGCGACTTGTCCAGTTTCACTGAGACAAATGGGCAGGTTGGCGAATCGTATCAAGTAGCTAATCAATGGGGCAGTTCAATTCGTAATCTCAGAGATGACTTTCTGAAGAATTGTTACACATGCAAGAAGAATTTGGAGGGAATAGACATATACATGTACAGGTTTGTTCTNTACACATGCAAGAAGAATTTGGAGGGAATAGACATATACATGTACAGGTTTGTTCTAAAAAATCTCTCTTTCTGGCATTCCATTTCGGAAAGATTAGTCGAGGTGTGTGTTTGGACTGATCAATTACCAAACCATAGTACTTTTCCAACTTTATTCTACTGAATGAGGTAATTTCTCACTTATTTTTCATTTTTTTGGTATTTACATCTGGAATAAAGCTCACTTTCTCAATATAACGTATTTGCAAAACATTGAAATGAATGGTTTTTTTTATTTTGCAAACATTATTTATATTATAAACCACGAGTTTAAATGAATGTTACAAATAAAGAGCAATAAGTTGAAAAATTCATTATAACTCATGGTACATGTGGGATAAAATTTTCTTAGATTTTGCAGCAATGGTTAATTATGATAGGAAATTAAACTTGCAGAGGCGACGGAACATTCTGCAGTTATGAATGCCGCTATGAGGAGATTTTGACCGATCGTATAAGAGAGATAGAAAGAGAAATGGAGAAAAGGTCAAACGAAAAAAGTCCCCGCTCAAGCAACGACAGAATTATCTTTCTACTCGATGATGAGCTTCTTGGTCCACACATTTATGGATGATGATAATTTAATTAAAGCAAGGACCCAGTTCTTCTTTGTAATGTTGTACCGCATTTGAATCGATAACTGACTCAACCGTATCTATTAATTCAGTACCTGTCTTTTCTTTGTAATATAATCTTTGTAGTATAAGTACTTTTTGAGCCTTATATGTTGTTGTAAGTTGCAGTAGAAGATGCTGGCTAGTGTTGAGTCCCTGTATCACGGGGTTCTATTTCTTGAAGCTTTAGTCTTTTACTTTACTCTTAATGTAAAAGTTATTAAGTTTAAGGAAAACGTTAATAAAACATAGGTATTATTTTTCTTTTCAACCTACAAAAATGTAGCCACCAAAAGTGGAAAAAAAAAAAGAAAGAAAAATTAATTATTAGTGTTAAAATACAAGTTATTTAAATTAAAACGTTTATTATATGCATAAATTCTTACTTATCTATTACATAATATAGATATATTAGTTTTAGGGTTAATTGCAAAATACCTCCTTGAACTTTGGGTCTTATTTCAATCAGATCCCTCTAGTTTAAAATTGAACAATTTGTCCCCTTCAAGTTCTAAAATTAACTAGTTGACTGGTTAATTAGACAAAAACTTTAAAATTATTTTTGTACCCTCAACCGTTATTCATCTCCATTTTCTTTCATTTTTCTTTACCCAATTGAGCCAAAATCTCCAATGCCACCAACTACAAACCATCGTAACCATGACCCAGCCAACAACCACAACCATCGCAGCCACCACCAAACCACCCAGCCATAACCACCAACCATCGCAGTTACAACTAGCCCACAAACCACCGTAGCCCCCACCCAGCCATATCCACTGTAGCCATAATCAACCAATCCAAAAACCATCGTAGCCATCACCCAATCACTCAACCACCCTATCCATCACCCAACCAACCAGCCAACGACCATCGTAGCCACCAACACATCCACAAAACACTATAGCTACCGCCCAGCCACCCAGCCACCCAAGCACAAATCATCGTAGCCACCACTCAACCACCCAGCCACAATCACCAGATCCACAGTGAAGAGGGAGGGTTTCAGTGGGGTTGGGTTTTCAGTTCTATGGAGTCCGATTAAAGAGTTGAGTTACGGGAAGGGTGGGGGTGGGTTTCAGTTTCAGTGGAGGAGAGGGGATTTGGGTATCGGTTCAGTGAATGAGGAGGCCGGATTAGGGAGTTGAGGGAAATGTGGGGTGGGTGGTGGGTTGGGGGTGAGTTTCAGTTGCAATGGAAGAAGGGGGGAGGGATTTGGGTTTTTCAAGTGAATTGAGTTTTCAATAGACTTGAATTTTCTCTTTCAATTTTGAATTTTAGACAAAGACAAGAGTAGTTGTGGGTTTTTGATTAATTTAAATCATGTGTAAAAGAGATCAACTAACGGTAGGAGTTAATTAAAAATTATTCAAACATTAAGGGGACAACTTGTTCAATTTTAAACCAGAGGAATCTGATTAAAATAAGACCTAAAGTTCAAGGGGGTATTTTATAATTAACCCTTAATATTTCGATAAATAGATACAATAATAATTATTTGCATATATACTTGTTCTTTGCTTTCACTTTCTATCATACCAAACATAAAAAAAAAAAATTTCAATTCCTCCTAATTCTTATCACTCCTACAAAATACAAATGAGGGAATGAATGCTTCTTTCCTTTGAGAGTGAGAAGTGTATATCCCTCTTCTTTTCTTTTTCCCTTTTTTATTCATCTATCCTACCAAAAGATTGGTAAGTTACAAAGTTTGGTGTTTTAGATAGTATTAATGTATAACAAATTTTATGTTACACCTTTTCCAATAGCATCACATTATAGACAATCTTGCGTTTGAATTTAACTATCACCTAAATAATTATATTACTTTTAAGCGTTTGACCTAATATCAAGGTTATACATGAGAAAACATATTAAATTACCATCTCTAACAACTTAAGTTTATTTTTAGATGAGATTGTACTTTAACATTCATGGACGTGTTGAATAAAAACCTCCCCAATAATTGAAATTTATTTATTTTTAGGNTTAAGCGTTTGACCTAATATCAAGGTTATACATGAGAAAACATATTAAATTACCATCTCTAACAACTTAAGTTTATTTTTAAATGAGATTGTACTTTAACATTCATGGACGTGTTGAATAAAAACCTCCCCAATAATTGAAATTTATTTATTTTTAGATGAGATGGTGTTCTAACATCGAAAAATGCATTTTACATGCATATTTTTTTAAAAAAGATAAAAAATCCAAAATAGAAAAATGCAAAAATAAATGCCAAATTCAACAGAAGGATTTAATTTCTTGGCCGAATGTTGGATAAAATAAAACTGTAGCGGGAGAAGAAAAAAGTTAGTTTATGTTTATCTTTTAGTCAGAAAAAAGCTAATTTTTAAATAAANAAAATGCATTTTACATGCATATTTTTTTAAAAAAGATAAAAAATCCAAAATAGAAAAGTGCAAAAATAAATGCCAAATTCAACAGAAGGATTTAATTTCTTGGCCGAACGAATGTTGGATAAAATAAAACTGTAGCGGGAGAAGAAAAAAGTTAGTTTATGTTTATCTTTTAGTCAGAAAAAAGACTAATTTTTNATAAAATAAAACTGTAGCGGGAGAAGAAAAAAGTTAGTTTATGTTTATCTTTTAGTCAGAAAAAAGCTAATTTTTAAATAAAAAGAAAAATTTACATTGTTCCCGACCACAGTGGGAGTCGAACCCACGACCTTTTGATCCGAAGTCAAACGCGCTAATCCACTGCGCTATGCGGCCTTGTTATAATTTTGAGTCTCTATTTTTATATATGTATATACATTTTCTATTTTGGTCTTCCCGTACCTTTCTCATCCTCATTGTCACTATGTTGAGTGGCCAAGGATTCCCACACAATTAAATGCAAAATATATTAGACATAATCGCGAAAGGAAAATGTTAGCTAAATAAATGATTTTTAACATCCCTAAAAATTAGGCTTATCAATCGTGTGTTGGGTTAGGCACATTTGTATCGACTGAGATAAATTTGTGTCAAAAAATATTTTATTTATACCCGATTCATTTATTAATTTGTGTTTTATAAGTCATATCATATCAAGTTTGTATTGTGTATGATTCGTGTATAACTGATACAAAAATGAGTCGTGCTGTGTATTTTTTTTTTTATTAATTTTACACTTATTCAATTTTTTTATTAATCGTGTCGTGTTGAATTCACTCAATTATGAAATGGGTGGCTTAAATAAAACTCAAATCCTCTAATTTTATGTTGTGTTCGTATCATATTAACGAGTCATATCATACTTTGACCCCCTAATCAAAACTTTTTTGCGCAAACTTGAGATGATGATGTGCACATATTAACATACTAGTCATTCTTTTATTCAATACACACATTCGAGTTTTTACGTCGACCAAATTTTTATTCAAAAAAAATACATTAACAAATTTTTTTTATAAATTTTTTGATCTTACGCTTTATCAATTTTTGTTAATTTTTTTTTAGCAACTATGACAATGTCAATATCTAGATCTTCAACCGATTACTCTCTTCTATGAAGAGAAATTACCTTATGCGCTTTTAAATTATGGTGTGAAGCTTTTATGACCACTTTAAACTAATATTAAAATAAAGAACCGACTTATGATTACTAAAATATGCACAACGTTACTGATCGACCGCCGGGGTTAAGTCATTAGTGCTTATCTCTAATAAAATTGTTATGCACGGGTAACAATTTAATTGCTTAGAGTTAAATCTAGAACGCACCATCCACTCGATTGTATAGAATTAATTTTGGGTTACACCATTGAACTTGTACGTGTTGAGTTCGAACTCTCGTGGGTAACTCTTGCATTCAATGACTAATTATAATTAGGATTAATTGCACTTTACACTCTTAAAGTTTGAATTTTTTTTACATTACATCTTCAATGTATTAAAAATATTGTTATATAACACTTATGTTAGTTTTCTCGTCAATGTGATTGAGTTGATATTTGACAAAAAAAAATAACGGAAGTTAACTGAAGAAATATAATGCAATATTTTTAGTATATTAAGTATGCAATATAAAAATTTAATATTTCAATATACAACGTAGAAGTTGTAAAAAAAAATTATGATGCAAAGTGCAAAAAACCATTATAATTAACAAATAAGATCAAGTATTGACAATTTGGTCTGATCACGAGATATTTATGTTTTATGAATTTTATAGTTTTAACATGAATAATTGACTTTTGAAAAGATTAAAGAAATAATTAATCGATACGCGGATAAAATGACATTGATTTCTTGATAGTCTGAAAAAAAAAAGTCTTTTTTTGCTATAAAATTTTAATTTTATGTTGATTATTCTCTTAAACTATGAACAAATTACCATAACTTGAACTAATTTAAAAAAATATGGGTGATTAACTCTGATGAGTTGCGAGAAATATCCAAATTTCACCTGTAGATNGATCAAAGGTGGAAATTAATGAGATACTATGCCCTTAGTCAATGAACATAAACTTATTAGCTTATGCTAATTACTCTTGCCAAAGAAATACTATGACCATAGCAGGCTTAAGGGCAACAATAATCAAGCATGTAAGGTCTTTATCAAAAAAAAATGTGCTGACCTGCTCATAATTTTTTTGTTTTATTTTTTATCAGAGCTGGTTATCTGCTTTATTTGATTGAAAGGTCGAAGAAGTGCTTAGATTTTTCGGCCACCCTGTATGTAATCCATCTCTTTCTATGCATCATATATGGGGGCTGGCCTTCATCAATAACATGGTGGGTTGTAAATGGTACTGGGCTTGCGGTGATGGCATTGTTAGGTGAATATTTGTGCAGAAAATATGAGCTACGAGATATTCCCCTTCCGAGATACCGTTCAAGTAAGTTAATTTTTTTGAAAACAAATATTTCTTTTCATTACTTGTAAGTTCTTTATTGATTATTTAAAAAAAAATTATCTTCTCTTTCCCTAGGCAATTCTCTGACCTCTC